GCGTTGCTCGAATACCAGGATGAGCCAAACCGTGGAGTTTTGAGAGTACCAGCTGCCGACAGTTTGCGGGAACAAAAGGACGAACACGACTGCCTGACACATCACAGTACAGTTCAATACTCGAATCCGGCAATCTCAACTTCTTCAACCCAACCCCATCTTCAGACTGGCTCTTCAGCTGAGCGAGCAACTCTGCATCAGTCTTCTGCCCCTCAGCAATTAACTCAATAACATTTGCCTCCAACTGAACCGTAGCAACCCGAGACAAAGAGTCAGCCACCGTATTATCTGCACCAGCCAGATGACGAATATCAGTGCAATACTGACTAATAAACTCCAGCTGTCTTGCACGACGAGGAGATGCCTTCTCACTTATTTGCCTGAACGCAAACGTTAAAGGTTTGTGATCCGTAAAAATGACGAAATCACGTCCCTCTAATGCATACTTAAAATGCTGGACAGCTTGATAGATAGCAGTCAACTCACGATCATAAGCACTATACTTAGTCTGCGCTGGACTCAAACCTTTTGAATAAAATGCCAATGGCTGAGTCACACCTTTCACTACTTGTTGGAGAACAGCACCCACCGCAACGTCTGAAGCATCAGTCGTGAGCGTCAATTGTGCATCCAGAGCCATGAAGTTAAGCAACGTAGCTTGGGCAAGATCATTCTTGCAAGCCTCAAAAACCTCTACATCTTCTGGAGTCCAAGAAATCACCGACTTATCATTCTTGCGGTTACCTGGTGTAAGATGAAACAACCGCTGCTGATTCTGCACAGCGTTACGCAGAAACGGCCGATAAAAGTTCACCATGCCTAAGAATTGTCTAAGCTGTTTCACCGTTGCTGGCAGAGGAAAATCACGAACAGCTTGAACTTTACTCTCCGGAGGACGTAAACCCTTTGCACTAATAACGTGCCCAAGGAACTCGATCTCGGAACAGCCGAACTTACACTTGGCAAAATTCACGGTCAAACCAGTTTCTCTAAGTCGATCTAAAACCAGTCGCAAATGCATTCTGTGTTCTGCTTCATCTTTTGACGCAATTAAAATATCGTCGATGTACGCAAAAACGAAATTAAGATCACCTAGAGTCTCATTCATAAAACGCTGAAACGTCTGGGCAGCATTACGGAGACCGAAAGTCATAAAGCGAAACTCGAACAGGCCAAACGGAGTTGTAATAGCTGTCTTCGGAATGTCTGCCAGTGCAAGCGGTATCTGATGATACGCTTTCTGCAAATCTATCTTCGAAAACATAGTTTTACCATGAAGAATACTCGTCACATCATGAATGAACGGAATCGGATACCGATCAGGTTTAGTTTGCGCGTTGAGCATGCGATAATCGCCACACGGTCTCCAACTTCCATCGCCTTTGCGAACCATGTGAAGTGGACTTGCCCAACAGCTTTTCGAAGGTTGACAAATCCCTGTCTGGACTAAAAATTGGAATTCCTTCTTGGCTTCTTCAAGTTTGGCTCCAACTAAACGTCGGGGACGCGCAAATGACGGCGCACCAAATGTCTCGATGCAATGTTCAACCTTAGTAACTAAACCCATCCGATTTGCACTCATAATGCCTAAATCACGGTATTCATTAACCAGCTCAGCATAAGCTGAAACTGAACCACACACACGCACAGTATCTTCTTGAGACACAGCAGCCTTACCCTTCATCATCAAAGTCGTCTTCGAATCAACTAACCGCTTCCTTTTCAAATCCACTAACAAGTCATAGTGATTAAGGAAGTCGGCTCCAACAATAGGGCAGCTAACATCCGCAATCACGAACGTCCACGGGAAATCTCTACGCAAACCCAAAGACAAAAGCAGTCGACGCTCGCCAAATGTTTGAATAGGCGTACCATTAGCGGCATATAAATTAACTGATGCAACACTGTTAGCCCTTTGCTTCCAACGACAGAACGACTTCGGTAAAACTGATATGTCCGCACCAGTATCAATGAGAAAAACGGTCGACGTGGCGGGATCTTTAATACTAAGTCGAGCTATACGAACACTAACCCCTTCTCGGCTCGACGACGTAGAAGGAGTGCCTAGTTTTTTGACTGATGAGAGCTTGCCACAAAACTACAGGGCTGCCGACAAGCATTAGCTCTATCACCAAACCTTTCGTGATACCAGCACCAATCTGGATGGACTTCCTGGTCGGGAACGAGTTCGCCTACGTCTCCTCGATGACGATCGACTTTGCACCGACTCACTACGACGTAAATCCAAACGACTCAGACGCTGTTCGATTTGCTCAAGCCTTCGTAAAATCACAGCATTCTCAGAATAGGCTGGACAATCAGAGGCTGACGCTACAGCTATCTGTTGAAAATCACCCGCCTCGCAAATACGGTCTGCTAATTTCGCCAGTTCTGCTAGTGCCACGTTCGATGCCTGCAGAATAGCGCGCACTTGTGGTGGCAAACGCTTCAGCCAAAGAGACTTAAGGAACTCATCGCTCACCTTGTCTTTAGCTAACGCTGTCAACTCCGTTAGCAACTGTGTTGGGCGTCTATCACCAAGTTCAACTTCTGACAACAACCGTTGAATCTTCCGCTGCTCGCTCTCACTGTACCGCTCTATGATGCAAGCCTTTAAATTAGCGTGTCTTCCAGTTTCAGGAGGATGAAGCACTGCATCACTTACATCGGCGATAACACTTGACTCAATCGCTGCTACTACCGTGTTGAACTGTGTGATGTCACTCGTAATGGCAGCTACTGCGAATTGCGCCTCGATCTGAGCAAACCAAATCTCCGGTCGCTCGTGCCAAAACGGTGGCACCTTCACTGCTACACGGTTTACGACACTTCCACTATCAGAAGCCATTACTACACCTTCGTCTGCAACTGACATCACAGCTCGATAATTAGATATTTAGCTCAGAAGTTAAAATTTCTAAATTTAAACTTTTTCGAGATCACGTCGGGGTCACCAATTTAGCAATGATCTGTTCACCTTGCTAATTAATAAATCTCTAAAAATTTTCAATGTTAATAAACTTTTATTCAACTTTTTACAGAGAGAAAAATCGGAACGTTCTCCTCAATCAAAACAAAAAACTTAAAAATATTTGAAATTGAATTTTACTTTTTAAATTCAATAAATGCACAGCCAACTGGGTCGCCACAGAATATTTCTTTTTTAAAGTATGTATTACTAAAGTTATTGCACTATATTATTACCTGACTAACTATTACCTTTATTGAAGAAAAATGAGGATGATGATTTTGTACAGTATGGAACGAAAATTGTCACGGATTGTATTTGAGTCCTTCTTTTTAAATTTGTTATAAACTATTTTTATGTTGCCTAATTTACTTATTTAAACGATTCTTTATTTGACCATCACTATAACTCTTAGTACTTAATATTATGTATATGTATATAGTTAATAAGAATGAATTAATAAATAATAATAAGCATTTCACTGTGTTGTTTGAGTTTATTATATATAAAGTTCTTCTTCTTATTTGATACTACATTCCAGTATCAACCTTGGCTTCCCTATATATAAAGTTACTTTCGGCTTTTAATTATTAAAGATATCTGATCTCATAAACTATTAATATAAATTACAACGTTCTTCTAATTATGGGTGATTGTACATCATTAGAAGATCATTGTTATGTATTATTGATATATAGAAGCAGTTAGCCTTAGCAGGGGTTTGATTTACAATTATACAATTATAATACAATTATAGTTCTTGATCCACATATCAATATTAAATAAGTTCAATAAATGATTTCATTAGGCAAATTATCTTTTAACTTATTGGTTATATTCTTAGTAAAGAATATATTATATATATATATATAATATAAATATTTTGTACAATAACCTTTAATAAATAAACTCTCAAATTTTTCTGCAGTGCCAATTATAAAAAAGAGTTCAAAAGAAAAAAAAATAGCAAATTGTTTATACACAATAAAAAAGGGTTAATAATATTACATTGTTAATTATTTGTTGTTAATTATAATTTTTAATTATGAGTTTCTGTAAATACACAGATTTGTGTATTTTTGTTGGTTGAGTATTTTTTATTCACTGGTTTCTTGTTATATTCCTGCTGATATATAACACCAGGTGTAACACCAAAAAAATATAAAGAGAAATAAAATTGATCACCCTCAGTAAAAAAAAATCAGTGGCGGTAAAAAGAAATTATTATTATAAAGAATCTTTGCTGCTCTATATTCTCCATAACAATAATATTTATTGCCGTTCTTGATTTCTTTTTGCTGGATCACTTTTATTTCATTCTTTACATATTTTTTTAGTGGACTCTTACAGACTTTTTTCGAAACTGTGTCAGACTTGAACCCACAAACACCATCTCTTAGGATATACACAGGAGCTTAGTATTTGTGGTTACAAATTCATCTATGCTAAGGGTTTTAAAGTGAGGGAATATGGGTAATTGCTTAGGGAACTACATAGGAGGGAAGAGATTCTTAAAAGCTTAGTTAGTCGGTGCGTACCGTAAGAACATAAACAAACTTAAGCCATAGCGAAATGCACAGCCAACTTTGTTTCTATATATGATAGGAACAAAGTTCCCCGCTGTTGTTAATTTCGTTCTTATTAATACACAGATGTTGTTGTTGTTGTTGGTGCATTTCGCTTTGACTTATGATACGTGTCGATTAACTGAGCACAAGAAACACTGGAATTCTTGATGCACGACAAAACCAATTCTTGATGCCAGATTATTTTGAGATATTTAAGACTATTTGATATATTTTGTACTCTCAAGGTGCATCCACACCAAAGTGAACGTTTGCGAAGGAACGAAAATTTGCAAGCAATGGTATATGGAAAGATGCAAAATAATGACTAGAAATCAAAAGTTGATTTTTGTTGCGTTAGAGTCAAAAGTACCCGATTATTATAATAAGAAGTATTTATATATTGTAATAAATAGTAATCGTATTTTATTATATAAAAAGTACTCATATTTTATGATATATAAGTAATTTTATTTTTTATTTGTTCACAATTTATGCCGTATGATATATTTTTAATACGTGATTTAATTAAATTTGACTATATATACAATTAACATATTAATATATAACTATATAAGTAACTTGCCAATTGCAAGGAAATTTTAAGAAGTTAATCTTTATTACCAATCTAGATCATCAGTCTCATATTTGTTGTTTTTTTGTACATCACTAGTCAAGAGCAAAATAAATATTTTAAGGGTTTTTAATACAACAAGCGGTATTATGTTTAAATGCTGACGCTAAGTCCAGACACATGGCTTTACCTTCCCATTGTTAAACAAATATATGTACATGTACATAGAAATAATTAGATAAAATTTATGTATTTTGTTTTATGAATTCACAATTCATAAAATTAACTTTTCATTAAATAATTTTTTTTTCTCTTTTCTTGTTAATTGTATCTTTCGGATTAGAAATTGACAATTATTAATCAAATTTTAAAAACTAAGCACAATGCAATTAGCCGGTGAAAAAAATAAATTAAAATTTATAATGAAATTAAATGTATATTATTTTGTATAATTATATTGATAATAAAAAAAGATAATAAACAAAGACATATTGACTACTTACTAGTCACTACGTCCGTCACGGCCCTTTCGGGCGGATATCCACTTTCCATCTTCAAAATTGATTTAATTTTAATTTATTGTATCAATTGTTCTAATCGATTAATTTTTGTTTTATATAAAAAACAATTTATAATAATTATTTATATTTTTGTTTTGTTTTTATAGATTCAAACCTAGTAGTGAATTAAATAATGTAATATAATTTATTAATAATAAAATTTAGTATAACAATAAGATATTATTTATTTACTATTCACTATTTCGAGAGACATTATTAATTAAAATCGAATGAAACATGGTAAAAACTATATTAGTTAATTAAATAAGAGAGGAAAGACGGAAAGGGTTTAAGATAATGATAGGGCACGGGTAACAATCACGTGAACTGAACACTAAATAATATCAAATACTCAAGGGGGGAGGGGGGTGGGTCTGGCGCTGCAAAAATAGTATGGGATTCACTGATGACCAAGTAATGGATGCCTGGATGATCTTAGCACTAGAAAAATAAGGGAACTGCAGGATTTTAATGAAGTTCTCTTTTGCATTTTCTGTTGATTTCGACTGGATTTAATTATTTTACCAGATTACTAGATTCGTCAATAATTTAACCATAAATTATCCCAAAAACATCATTACAATAATACATTATTAAATTTTTTTTTTATATATTGAGAGTTAATTAAATAGAAAAGGGGACTAATGAAAGTGTTAGGGATAATGATAGGGTACCAACATAAGCAGGTGAATGGAAGACTAAGCAAGACCAAATAGTCAATTCAAAGGTGGACTACAAAAACGAAATTTCATTGTAGTTTAACGTTATTTATGGCAAAATATTGAATGTGGACAATAAGAAGTGAATACTAGAAAAGAAGTAAATATAGACATCAATGAACTTAAATGAAGGGTTCTTATTAATTTCTTTTAAGTAGTAGCTTTACGTGATTGTTTGTATCTCCAGATTTTGTAAGGGGAAAATAAGAACTTATTAATATATATACATATATATATATATATATATATATATATAATACTAGATAACCCGACAAACGTTGTTTTGCCTTATAAATTATTTCTAGTTTCTAGATAAATTCTAGTGTAGACAAAAGTAACTTACTTATTATAAGTGTGTAAGTATGTGGTATATGCATGAAATAGGCATGGAGCGCTATGAACGGAAAGGAAAATAAAAATAACAAACGCCAAACAATATTATTTTTAAGTTATTATAGTTTATTTATTAAATTAATAATTTAAAATCAATAGATTTGTATGATACCAAGTTCCCTAGCAACAACTGTTGTATCTTCAAATTTAAATTGTCTTGGATTGACTATAAATAATAATAATGATAATGAGCCAGTAACATTAACCAACAACAGTCGAAGATAAAAGCACTCAGTGTGTTTTGGATTAACTGTAAATAAGCGTTCGATTTAAATAAATTGAGACATGCATCAACTGGTGAAACTTGCTTGAGGGGCATCATTTTTTTGTTTGAGCCCATGTGAAATAGCGTGGTACTTGTGAATAGAGTAATGTTCTTGCAAAGGCACCAAAATCATCCGTACTATTACACAAAAAAATGCAGTGAGTGTAGATTTAGGTGGATTTGTACCACGATCAATCACTGTCTCGTTCGTGAAAAATACACGCTGACCGTTTTTAAGATGGACGGCTAACTGAACAGCTGCTGGATCCCCTTCATGAATTAGAAAACCGAAGATACGCCAAGCAGCTTCATGGGAGCTGATGTACCGACCAATTTGGTAGAGCGTAATTTCACCGTTTTTGTTCATTGGAGGAGCATTTTACAGTCGAAGATAAAAGCACTCAGTGTGTCTTGGATTAACTATAAATAAGCGTTCGATTTAAATAAATTGAGACATGCATCAACTGGTGAAACTTGCTTGCGGGGCATCCATTTTTTTGTTTAAGGCCATGTGAAATAGCGTGGTACTTGTGAATAGAGTAATGTTTTTGCAAAGGCACCAAAATCATCCGTACTATTAAACAATTCAAAAAATGCAGTGAGTGCAGATTTAGGTGGATTTGTACCACGATCAATCACTGTCTCGTTCGTGAAAAATACACGCTGACCATTTTCAAGATGGACGGCTACCTGAACAGCTGCTGGATCCCGTTCATGAATTAGAAAGCCGAAGATACGCCAAGCAGCTTCATTGGAGGTGATGTACCGACCAATTTGGTAGAGCGTAATTTCACCGTTTTTGTTCATTGGAGGAGCATTTACATTAGTATTTTCTACTCTAAACACAGCCATACCACCGCCTTTATGGACATACTTATATATTTGATGCTCTTCACAGAACTGCAAAACTCAACATTAATATAAGCATTGTATGTCTTGCTTAGCAGAGGCGAATACGTTACCACCCGCCATTGTCCCCCATTATCGGGATTTCTTCGACGATATATTGGATATCCGTCGGTATTTGTTATAGTATCATTAGTGAAATCTTTAGAAAAATTTTTAGTACATTTTCCATCTGCCATGCAAGCCGAAGACGAAGAACGAAGTCGATGTAAATGCTCGATGTACTTGTTGGCGTAGTTACATAAAATATTAAGAAAAAATTTTTCTTTTTCAAAAATATAAACAAAATTTATGTCAAAAAAATAAAAAATTTTTTGTTAAGCACTAAGGATATTTTTACTGGGTAGGGACTCCCTAATCACTTTAGCGGTATGAAAAATAGATAGTAGCCGATTCTCAGACCTACTGAATACGCATATAAAATTTGGTAAAAATCGGTAAAGCCGTTTCGGAGGAGTACGGTAACTAACATTGTGACATGGAAATTTTATTTATAAGACCGCAAACAGACATCGTTTGGCCTTGCGACTTATTGATGGTCTTTGCAAATGCCAATCTAATAGGAAATTGAACGCGTTTGAATTAAATTGGCATGTCTGTGAGAATCATTGGAATTCGTGGCAATAAAACTTTTTCGTTTCGGAACTTGCCATTCAAAATGGTGGCTTCGATAATGTTTTTCATCAATTTTTTAATTACCAATCGCGTATTATTGTACTATTGTATTGTATGTGTACATCTGGAAATACGCGGTCAATGAGAGCATTTTGGGAATTAACGATAGTGCAGAAATTAGGGGGCAGTTTTATGAATTCAGTATTTTCATAGACAACAACTTTTCATATCATAGCAAGTTTTCTTTTTCAAAAATATAAAAAAATTTATGTCAAAAAAATAAAAAAATTTTTGTTAAAGCAATAAAGATATTTTTGCTGGATAGGGACACCCTAATCACTTTAGCGGTATGAAAAATAGATAGTAGCCGATTCTCAAACCTACTGAATACGCATATAAAATTTGGTAAAAATCGGTAAAGCCGTTTCGGAGGAGTACGGTAACTAACATTTTGACAATGTTAATTTTATATATAAGATATATGTATATATATATATATATAATAATAATAACAATGAAATAACTTTCTTATGTTTTCTTCATTTTTGTGAGTTAGTGTTTGAAGCACTTTTACTTAATAGTGAAGTCATTTACTGTAACAAGAGCCCCGTTGAATTCTGATAAGGTGGTATTCGGGTTAATTTACAGAAGTATGGTTTGAATCCAAGCATACTATCCTGACGGAATATATATTGCGTTTGATTTGAGAGCGTGAAAATTTGAATTAGTGTGAGCATCCACATATTCCAAACACATCAGCACTCTGTCTTTGATATACTTTTGCATAAACTCGACTCTCAAGTCTTCGTTTATATCTTCATTCGACATGTTTTAAAAAAATATTCCGATAAGTTTGAAGTTTTCTAATAGTGAATGTGTGATTAAGGAAAATAAATAAGAAAACAAAAATCTTAAAATAAAAACTAATACAATAATTTTCCTTTTTATTTTTATTATTCAGTTAAAACTGATAGTAGTTTTTCCAGCCTATTTTAAAAACATTGAACTCATAACAGTATTACTTATAATATTGATATATTTCTGTATAATATAATATGTAATAGATATTTATATATTAATTAAAATAATATAAATAATAATTTTTGTTGTTGCAGTTCATTATTGTTTGAAACCTCTCTGTATTTATGTATATTTATTTCTTAATTTAATTGATCTTATCTTTTTCTTATCATTATTCTGTAAGAAACTGAAATCAAGAAAGTTTGTCGATTAATTAAAGCTTTAAGTATGTTAATTAGGTAGCCAATCTCTAGAAACAATTTCTCATTGCACAACTTTATCACATTACCTTACATCATAATAAATAATAATTATAATAATTAAAATACTAATTTAAAGATTTCATTTAATACAAATTTATCCTTGTAAGTTTCAAAATTTTTCAACCGCATTTCGTCTTCAAAAGTTCCAACAATTTGAGCAGTAAAAGTACCAGTAAAAAATTGCTTAATAAAGTAAAATTATGGTTTTAATGTGAACTCCCGACAAAATTCTACATTAAAAATGTGTAAGTGTGTAATTTGGTTGTGTAGATATTTGTGTGCCAAGTGACACAATTGCACAAGCAACCGTTGCAGCCGTTGCAGATGTGCAAATGTGCAACCATCAAAATTCAGATTTTCATATCCGGATTTTTTGCAATTGCGTTAAATTGTTCGTCATTATTATGAATGCGTGTTAATAATACAACAATAAGTGTAGCAAGAATAACTGCAACAACTATAACAATAACAATAATTGCAGCATACATACATCCATGCAACAACAATAAAAATAAGCTGCAACATAAATTTATTCATTGAGGCTCTTGTGATTGTCATTATTGTTGTATTTATGTAGAAGCAACCTCGCACGTACATTCAACGAAAATTGCCTTTAGTGACACTTCTCCGTACAGTCGCATTTTATAACTATGAATACAGGGTGTGATTAGAATCCTTTAATACTAGATTCACACAAGAATTTTGTTTGTAATTTTAGCTGTCAAAAATTTTCATTTTGCATTGAAAGCAACAACAATTGACAGCTAAAATTATAAACAAAACTCTCGAGTGAATCCAGTATAAGGCTTAACTCTCTTATAGAATAAGTGCGGTAATAGAGTCATAACATGAGTAGAATAGTAAAGAATTAGTAGGGGACTACTTTATTGTGTTAGTTCAATAATGATAATTTTACACGGGAACTTTCTACTGTAATGCTTCATTTTCACTATGTCATTTTCAATGTCAAATAAAGAATTAGTAGGGCACTACTTTACTCTGTCAGTTTAAAAATGATAATTTTACACGAGAACTTCATTTATGTCAAATAAAGAATTAGTAGGGGATTACTTTATTGTGTTAGTTCAATAATGATAATTTTACACGGGAACTTTCTACTGTAATGCCTCGTTTTCACCATGTCATATTCAATGTCAAATATTGTCAGTATAATGAAAATCGGTAGTCACATGATGTCATATTTGCATTCTGGTCATATAATAAAAACGCATTTGACACACTAGTCATTTATAATTGTCATTTAATTGACATAGTGAAAACAAGTCATAAGTTTTTTTTTTAATATTTGACACAATTTTATTAGTTTCATTTTATTTATTTTTAATTTTGAAAATGTGTTATGTATGGATTTGGATAGGAATATTTAATTACAAAGGGTTACCTATACTTGAGTGATTTATGTCAAATTGAAGTGTTATTCAAAACACCATATCTTAAGAGCAAGATCAAACATTTAGCAACAACCATTGAACATAATAAATATACATTAAAATATATTAGATAAATGGTTAAAATCATATAAATGGTAGTTATAGGTATCATATTCAATTTCATGCAATTTCTTCTATTATATTTTTCGGTTGGCGGATATGTCAGCAAAGAAAAGTGTCACGTAGCGAGCAATAGTAATTTAAAAGTATTTGTGGAAGAACCGATATATAATGTAGAAGTCAAGAAGTCAAGTGTGGAAGTCAAGTGATGGTGTAGTATTCAGTTTGGAGGTGCAGTGGTAGTGCTGGACCAACCGTACCAATCGATGGTATCAACTTTGTGAGGTCTTTTTCACTTTCCAGAGTTACAAAGAGACAAAATTTAAATAAACATATGCTATTGTTATTCCAAATTATGATAAATGAAATAAAAATAGAGGTTACAATGGAAAAGCGATTTAATGAATATCCAACTTTAAATATTTAGTTTAACTGATAATGTTTTGAATAGTTACCCACAGGTTCTTATATATAATATAATCCATTTCGTGGTCCTCATTTGGCCGCATAGTCTCATTAACATATGCTAAACATAATTGTTATTTAAGGTATATATATTTAGTTTAAAGCTTTGAACTCAGATTTCATTCTTCTTCTTCTTCTTCTTCTTCTTGAGTTAGTGCTATTACGCACTTTTACTCTATAATGACTGGGGGGTTAATCACTACCCCACACTAGGCTTTAACTAGGCTAAAAAATCATATCATTTATTTGTCTTTTAGTTGATGACGGACCTTAAATCAGCATATCTTCCTGAGAGTCCAGAAGTGGACTTGAGGATTGTTATGGCGGGGTTAAGTAGCGTATCAACTTTAGTGAATAATTTTAAAGCTCTGTCTCTGATATATTTTTTCACTGAGTCAATCCTAAGATCTCTATGTATGTCCGTAGATCTAATGTACCATGGAATCTTAAACAGTTTTCTTAAGGCCAGGTTTTGAGCTATCTGTAATTGCTTTAAGGTGGTATTTGAGGCTTTGCTATATGTAACACATCCGTACAGAAGAGCAGGTCTAATTACTTGCGTATAAAGTAACTTTCTGTTTTTAAAGTTGAAGTGATAATTATTAAATAGCGGCTTTAATAAATGTAGAATCTTAGAGCAGCTATTCCGTTTGTATTTCAAATGTTTAAGCCAATTGAACCGTTTGTCAAAAGTGACCCCCAGATATTTTATATTATCCTCCCACCGTATCTCCGTGTCGCAAACGCTCACTCTTGGAGGATGCTGTCTTCTTTTTCGAGTTATAAATATAGCCTTGGTTTTGTCATTATTAATTTTAATCTTCCATTTTTGGAAGTATTCCACCATAAGGTCTATATTTCCCTGTAACGTGTTGCTTACATTTAAGGCATCCCGATCCGAGTAGATCAAGCATGTGTCGTCTGCGTAAAGCGCCATTGATGTGGGACTTAAGGTGGGGATGTCTGCCGTGTATACATTAAACAATGTGGGAGACAAAGGCGACCCTTGAGGTACACCTGCTACAATTGATCGGGCGGACGAAAGAGTGCTATTAATTTTAGTACGGAAGGCCCTTTCTTGCAGGAAGCTACCAATGATTTTAGTCAAACCACTAGGGATCCCAAAACGGGCTAATTTGACTATTAGACCATCATGCCAGACCTTGTCAAAAGCTTTGGCTATGTCAAAAATAATCATCCCGGTGGACTCCCGTTTACTTAGAGCGGTTTGTATCAGCTGCGCAGTTCTGGCTAGTTGTAGTTCCGTGGAGAGATTATCCCTAAACCCGAATTGTTCGTCAGGAAGTATATTTAGGGCATTTACCGCTGTTTTAAGCCTAGTCAGGATTACACGTTCTGCCAATTTCCCC